AGACCTGGTAATAGATCAAACTGGCTGTAGTATTTTGGGTTTTCACCAGAATTAGGGATCTATAATACCTGTGAATGGAAAAAACACTGGATTGACAGACAATAGTTTTGCTACTAAGTAGTATAATGGAATTTGGTTTTGCCATCTCCCTTCTTTGGACTTTAGTTTTCCTGTAAAATACAGAAATGAGATTACATGATCTCCAAGGCCCATTCTAAAAACTCCCAAGTTCCACAATTTTTTTGAATATTCTTTTATACATGGACACAATATCTTTATTTTATTTATTTGTATGTGGTGCTGAGGATTGAACCCAGTGCCTCACACGTGTTAGCCCAGTGTTCTACTGAGCCACAACCCCAGCCTGAAGTTCCACAATTTTAAGATGGCTTTGAACACGTTTGCACAAACAAGACTCTAACATTTAATCCTGTGAAATAAACAAAAAAATATGTAGAAAGTGGCAATATGGGAATAGCATAATATTTTCTTAAGTATCTCCCCATAGATCCATTGTTGTTAGTTTCTTTTTTGTACTTCATCAGCCCTCATGGTTCCAAGAAAGGAAGCAGAACAAATCTGAAAAGGTACAGATAGTACACATAGAAAAGTTTCTGACATACAAGGAGAAAAATTTGCCCTTTGTAACCCTAGAGGATGATGGAAAGAAGAGGACAAGGAAATAGTAAGATCTAGTGTGCTTTCTTCCCCTCTCTGGGTGGAAACTAAAATTGAATATATGTAGTTGACATATTCACATAAATAATGAGGAAAGTCAAGAGCTGGGGATAATGGTTTGCTTTTCTGGGAATTCCTCTGAAAGGTCAAGACCTCTAGGAGCTCTTCTTTCAGTTTGACACCATACTTAATATGACACAAGGAAATTAATGCAACAGTGGAGAAGTGAGATGGTCCAACAAGCCCAAAGCAAGGCCCTTGGTTCATCAAGTCTTACATGAAGTATCTGGAAAATCCAGAAGTGCCCATGGGTCTCAGTGAGAAGATAAAGTGGCATCCAGAGGATCAATGGCCTTGTGGAAACCTGGGGTCAGTAAATATGTTGTAGTGTGTGGAGGGGGGAAATGCCTCAGTATGGACTTCAACAAAAAAACTATGACACTTCTGAAGGACAGAAATAACCAGTTTTACTTTTTTTTAAGGTATATGGATTGAACCCAGGGCCTCACACATGCTAGGTAAGCAAGCCCTCTACCACTGAGCTACATCTCCAGGTTCTTTATTTTTTTATTTTGAGACAGCTAAATTGTTCGAGCTGGCTTCAAACTTAGGATCCTTCTGCCTCAGTGTCCTGAGTTGCTGGGATTACAGGTGTGTGCCACCACACCCAGCCTTTTTACTTGAGGCTTGCAGCCCTACTCTTAGACCATATCAGCTACTACATCCTAGGACAACATGGCATTTATGGCTTAGATTCTCTTCCCTCATGCCATGTAAGCCTCTGGGCAATTCCCAGCCCACTAGTCACTATGTAAATTTTAAAAAAGGTACTCCCTTTTTGAAGACACTTTACTTTCATCTTCAGAAAACTGTCAAAATAGAAAAAGTAATGTCACATTACAAGAAGTCACATTTACTGCCATTGGCCAGAGAACTGTCATAGTAGGTTTAGAAATTAGGATATATACAAAAGACACCCTCCATACCTTATACAACAACTCTCTTCCCCCATACATATTTTGGAATAAGGAGAGAAGAGAGAAAATCTGAAAGATGATACTTATATAAAATAAATTGGATAAGAAATTCCTGACATACAAGAAGGAGACTTGTATGGACTTGAGGTTAAAAAATACAGAAAACAAACAAGTTACATTTTCTTTGTACATTTGAATAAGTAAATCTTCAACCCTACCACATCAGAATACAAACTCCCTATGCCATTTATTTTATCAATATTTCCCATAGCACCTCACATATTATTCATTCATGGAAGGAACAAATAAGTACTTGAATATAAAAGTAAAATTTTAGAAACATCAAAAATATGGACACACATTGTAACTATTATCATGTGACTTTCCTGTATTTTTATTCCCCCTGTATTTTTATATTTATTTGAAACAAATGTAAAACTGTGTTTATTTGCACCTAGCCAAACAACCATAAACGTTTGAAGCTCTTCAAGCTGTTTTTTTTTTTTTTTAATAGGTGACCTTTTCAAGTATGTTTTTGAAAAGGAAACCTGGATGTAAGTTTCTCCATTTTCTGGACCAAGTATAGATCATCTCAAAAACACAGAACTTTATATCAGAGAAAACATTTGGAATTTGTTTTTTTGGAATTGGCTAACTTCACTTAGCATTATCTTCTCTAACTCCATCCATTTACCTGCAAATTCCATGATTTTATTTTCTTTTATTGCTGAGTAATATTCCATTGTGTATATATGCCACTTTTTTTTTTAATCCATTCATCTACTGAAGGGCATCTAGGTTGATTCCACAGTTTAGCTATTGTGAATTGTGCTGCTATAAACATTGATGTGGCTGTGTTCCTGTAGTATTCTCTTTTTAAGTCCTTTGGGTATAGACAGAGGACAGGGATAGCTGGGTCAAATGGTGGTTCCATTCCCAATTTTCAAAGGAATCTCCATTCTGCTTTCCATATTGGCTGCACGAATTTGCAGTCCCACCAGCAGTGTATGAGGATTCATAGTGGCATAGGGAGGGGAACATGGGAGGACTAGAGGAAGTCTAGACAGGGCAGAGGGTAAGACAGGAAAGGAGGGGGCATGAGGTCAGAAACAAGGATGGAATGTGATGGACATCATTATCCAAAGTACATGTATGAGGACACAAATTGGTGTGAATGTACTTTGTATACAACCAGAGATATGAAAAATTTGTGCTCTATATGTGTAATATGAATTGTAATGCATTCTGCTGTCATATATAAATAAAAATAATAAAAACAAAACACAGAACTTTAAAAAGTTAGAAACACCATTATATAGTACAAAATAAGTTCTTACTTAAAAGGGAGTGGAACCCTAATGTCTGGAATGATGGAAGTAATTTGCCTAGAGTCACATATCAAATCTGGGACTCAAACACACTGTATGATACTGGCTTACATCTCTTGTGCCTCTCCTTCTATCATGCTTTTAACAATTATCTGTCTCAAACCCAGGCAGCAATTGATGAAACTCAAATGAGAGAAAAATCACCAATAGAGCTGAAAACCAGAGAATCGAGAGGTAAGCTCATAGTTTTACCACATCTTAAAAAAAAAAAAAAAGATAAACAAAAGAGAGCAAAGAGAATCGAGAACAGCAGCTAAGGAATCAAAACCTGTCTTCCTTGGGGAGAGATTATGCTGAGGGGACCAGATACAAATACTAAAGATAAAGCCTCTTGGGATTTTTCTTTTCTTTTGAGTTTGTGGGTGTGGAATCTAAGTGTTACTGAAATAATTCTGAAAGAATCCTACCCCAAATAAAAATACCCTTTAAAATTTTCTCCTGTTTTCTCTCATATATAACAAAAAAGGAAAAAAGCAAATCACATAAAAAATCTGTCTCAACACATTTACTTTATTTCTTCTTTCATATATTATCTTCTCGAATAGTACATATAGACCATTTTTTCAAAAACCAAAGCAAACTGACCAAAGGTCAAAACCTTCTGAAAGCTTAGATGACTATGATTAAGAGTCAACTCCAAACTTCGGTTACCAACCTCAAAGCTCCGCTAAGTAGATCTCAAAGATTTGCAAGTACCCTCAGCTGGGCTAAAGGGCACAGAACCTCTAGCGCTCCCTACAGCTCATATTTTAAAACTACCCACCCCAGAACACCGGAGTTATCAAAGATTGGCTCCCTCGCTCCACTTTTTTCCGCTTAAAAAATCGGGGGTGGGGGGGGGTGAAACGGCGAAATGAAGGATTAATCACTTCTCCCCATTACATCAGCAGCCCCCGCCCTTTCTTCCGAGTACCTCCTCTCCTCAAGCAGTCGCTACGCACTGGCGCTCCCTTCGCCTACCCCCAGCTCTATTATATGCCCTGATACCTCCCCATTATCACCCGCCCAGACACACTCCCCCTTCCCTCTTTTCCCCTCCTCGGCGGGGGAGGGAAGAAACCCAAGAGAGGAAACAGGGCGTTGAAGGAAGGGACTTCGCGATAAGAGCAGAGGTGCCATTGGCCCGAAGGTTGTATGGCCGCTCCCCATTGGTCTTCTGGCCGGAATCCCCGCCTCCAGCATTCCCCGCCCATTCACCCCTCCCCCCCGCCCCGAGGCCCTCCCCCGCGCCCCTGGCCAGCCCCGCGGCGGGGAGGGACCGACTGGGCGAGAGTGAAGGCTCCGGCGGTGTCAATGGCTCCTCCTGCCACGGAGCAGCAGCAGAAGCAGCAGCAACGGGGCTGAGGAGGAGGAGGAGGAAAGGTTCCTTTAAGGAGGAGGAACGACGACGCCTCTTTTTCCCCCAATCTCCTCCCTTTACACTCATTTCCCCTTCGCCGAGGAGAGAAGGGGGGAGGAGAGAGAAGAGGCCGAAGAAAGAAAAAAAAAATTCCTCGCAGAAATCTCTTTCAGGGGGTGTGGGGGGGAGGAAGAGGGGAAAAAAAAGAGCCGGGCGCCCCCCGCTCCCTCCCTCCCTGTTCTCCCTCTCTTCTCCTCCTTCTCCCTTCCTCACCCGCCCGCCCACTCCCCCCGCCGCCGGAGACGCCGCTCGGGAGTCGGCGGGACCCGGGTCTGTCTCCTCGGCCGCCGCCGCCGCGCTTCGTCTCGGGATCCCCAAGCGGGCGGACGCCCTTTCTTTCTTTCTCTCTCTCTGCCCGTCTTTCTGTCTCTGTCTCTCGCGGCCGCCCCGCCCGGCGGCCTCGGCCTTCCCCGTGCGCCAGGCCCGCCCGGCCGTCCTCGCTCGGGCTCAGTCTGTCTCCCCGGCCTTTCTCTGGACTCGGGGTCCCGCTCGCCCCCTCCGCCCACACCATCTCCCCTTCCCCTCGCCCCTCTCTTTCCTCCCCCTCCCCACCCCCTTCTCCTGCCCCGGAGCTCGCTGTGCGTGTGCGCGTGAGTGTGTGTGTCCCTCCGCCAACGCCGCCACCTCAGCCCGGCAAATGAACTCCGTCCGAGCCGCCAACCGGAGACCCAGGCGAGTGTCGCGGCCGCGCCCGGTGCAGCAACAGCAACAGCAGCCACCGCAGCAGCCGCCGCCGCAGCCGCCCCAGCAGCAGCCGCCGCAGCAGCAGCCTCCGCCGCCGCCGCAGCAGCAGCCTCCGCCGCCGCCACCGCCGCCTCCGCCGCTGCCTCAGGAGCGGAACAACGCCGGCGAGCGGGGTAAGGCCGCTCTCCCTCCCCGCCGCCCGCAGGTTCGGGCGCCTGGCCGGCCGGGCACGGTGGACGGGGAGCCCGGGCGGGTGGGGGCGGCCTGTGCGCTCCGGGGGTGGGAGACGGAGGCCGAGCGGAGGCGGGTCCCGTGGTGCCGCAGTGTCAGCCCGGGCCCGGCCGGGCCGTCAGGAAAAGCCGCGGCTTTCTGACTCTCCTGGGCTCTTGCTCAGGCCGCGCTTTGTTTGGTTTCGGGGGCTCGGCACCCTCCACCCCCACCCCTCCCTGGGGCTTCTCGCCTCGTCTGCGGACCCCGTGGGAGTCTGTAGGTGGCTGGAGGAAAGGCTAAGGGTAGGATTTCCCCCTTTTCTACCGCCTTCCACGGTCCGATCTCCCCCTTTCTGTTGGTAGGTGGGGGGAATGGCTGGGAGTGATGGGGCGGTGGGGTTGGCTGGGGAACTTGTTTTCCCCTTTTCTCTCTCTTCGCCTCCCCCTTCCTGTGGAGGAGGGGGAGAGGGGATCCGAGTGGTCCGTGGTGTTGGCCAGGGAACTTGTTTCTCCCGGCCCACCCCCACCCCCGGTCACGGGGTAGGGGGAGCAGCGACTCCTCTTCCAACCCCACGATGTTTGCTGCGTAGTTTGTCTTTAGTTATAGAACCTCCGGGAAAGACCCGTTAAATCGAGTCCTTTAGATAAATAAATATAGAATCCATCGGCCATTTCCACCCCCTCCCTCGTGTGCTGTGCAGTTACCCTTCCGCTCTGTCGGCACCCCCTCGATTTTTCTCCCCTTGCTACCCTTCCACGCCGCGGTGCTCCCCTCCATCTCCTAGTGGGGTTTGAACACCCCTTCCATAGAACCGGCCTCTTGGGAGTGTGTGTGTGTGTGTGTGTGTGTATGTGTGGGCGGGCGCGCGCGGGCGCTCGCGTGTGTGTTGTGACCAAGGCCTAGTGAAATGTGTCATTTGGACCCAACTGTGCAGCACTGTCTGGTAACCACCATTGTCTAAGGGCTGAGGCTCCCCGGGGTTGGATTCCTGCTTTAGCAAAAATAATGTTCAGCTTTACTTGGATGATATGATTATTTTGGGAGGTTTGTGAAATAGAGGTGTTGCACCTGGATCTCTAAACACAACTGTTCTCTTTATTAATTAGCTGCTTGCAGTGGGGTGGAGGTCAATACCGTATTTTTTGTGTATGGTTGTTGTTTTAAGGAGGAGAATTGTTAGGAGACATTTTGCCTGTTTTAGTTGCAGGGTTAAGGTTAATTTCACTTGCGTTGGTTGTCACATCCCCGTTGGTGAAGAGAATTAAAGGCATTTTTAAAATTATACATTCTTTCCTTAAAAACTGTTTCATTGTTTTGATCCAAATATTTAACCAGTGAAGATGTTAATCTGAAAAATAGTTTATAGGTTTTACTGTAGTCACTGTTACAGATAGTCTTTGAGAAAACAGTTTGCTATATGTTGCTTGAAAGATGTTTCAAGCCAGTTAGAAGTCTTGTGCAACATAATTGGTAAATATGTTTTAATGATTCTTTGATGCGTTTACTAGTTTCTTGGCATATTTAAAAATTTTGAGTCTCATTATTTCCTTTCACATATATCAGAGTTCTTCTGGTATTCCATTCAAATATTCAAGTCTCTTTCCAGAATTACTATTATGTATGATCATATATTAAAGTGTTTTTGAGAAAACAATGACAAAATTGAAATGCTAGCATTTAATATTAAGGATTCTGCTACTACAGTAAGCTTTTTCAATATGTGATTTGTTAATAACATGAGCACTGAATCAAAATATTTCAGCCAAACTTAATTTACTCCAATTGTGTATTTTTTAGATGTTTATTCTGCATCTCCATTTTGCAATTTGTGTGTAATTTCAAACCTGGTTCAGGTGATTTTGGGACAATTTTCTTCAAAATTATTAGCTACTGAACTCTTTGTACTTAAATTGGAAGTAAAGTGACTTGGTTGTTGATAGTAACAAATTAGTGGTAGTTTTCTTTTCTTTTTAATTGATATTCATAAACTGACAAATGATGTTCATGAATCAGAATTTCAGTATGTACCTAACCAAGTGGTAAATGAAATTGTACTGTAGGATTGTTCCCTTGCTGCAGCCAGGAGATTCTGGAGGTTCAGTGTTGGCACTGAGGGGAAAAGAACTTGCTGATTAGCCTTCAGGGAAAATAGTCTCTCAAAGAGAAAATAAATGGCCTCAAAATGAATTAAACATTAAGAAAAATTAAAAGACTAAAATAATCAAAGTTTTGCAGGACTTAGTTAAAATAGACCATTTTTTGAAAAATTGGCATTTTGATTACATTTTTAAAATAGGAAAGTCACATAATGTTCAAAAGTTAGCTAAGAAGAACATTATCTTAAGTTTTATGGAACATAAAGAGTATCACTACTTCTAGTTTGGAAAAGAGGTTTTGTTATTGGTATTTATTTAAGAATATGCTGGATTTAATTTGATAAGGTTATTAAGAAACTAAAACTAAAACAAGTGTGTGCCCCCCCTGCCCCCGCCTCCCCAAACCTTTTACTAACTCTTGGTGAGCATGTAACTCTTGCGTTAGTCTTGGATAGAATTACATAATAGTGGACCAGCCAACTTTCCGGTAGGAAATCAAAATGAGACTCACTGTTTTAAGGTTAGTTCAATATATTTAAAATCATGTGCTTTAGGCTTTCAAAGAAAAATTTTAGCACCCTAGTTTTTAGCTGCTTTCTCACCCACAGGTTAACTGGAATAAAAACTTGATAACACTTTTAAATATATTTACATATACATAACATATTTATGTTGCACACACACAGACTTTCTCTTACATGTAATACCAGTGTTTGAAGAGAAAGAAACTAAATACTGGCCCGGGTATTTCATGGAATGTTGTCTTCATTCATGCTATCTTAAGTGGTCTGTTTGTTGTCTTAAGACTGAATACTGCTCATTAGCCTTCTTAGACTTAAAATTCCTGAGTTTGGGGGGCTGGAGATATAGCTCAGTGGTAAACCACTTGCCTATCATGCATGAGGCCCTGGGTTCAATCGTTGCCAGCACCACAAGAAAAAAAAAAGTTTCTGAGTTTCAGATTTCACACCACTTTAAACTAGTAGAAAATAGTTTGTGTTCCATATGGTCACAATTTGGTAATATATTCCATCAGTTAATGAAACTGAAAGTAGTGTGGTATTGGGTCTATAATATTTGTATATTTTATATATATATATATATATATACACACATACATACATACATACACACACACACACAAATATATTTTTGGTACTGGAGATTAACCCAGGGGGGCTTAACCACTGAGCCACATTCCAAGCTCCACCCAGTTTAAAATTTTTTATTTTTTGGAGTGGGGGGGCTCACTGAGTTGCTTAGTGCCTCCCTAAGTTGCTGAGGCTGGCTTTGAACTGGAGTTCCTCCTGCCTCGGCCATCCAAACTGCTGGGATTACAAGCACAGCCTTAGCCACCATGCCTGGCTTATTTTGTATTTTTGATACATGAAAATTGTACATATTTATGGGATCCCATGTGATTTTTTTTTCAATACATGTTTACATCATGTATTGTTCAAGTTAGGGTAAGTGCTATCTGTCTCCTCGAATATTTATCATTTCTCTGTGGTGAAAACATTGAAACTCCTTTTTTCTAGCCTTTTTGGAGTATGTAAGGCATTGTTGTCATTTGTAGTCACCCTACTATGCAGTAGAATACCAGAACTCATTTCTCTTTTCTGTGTCTTAGTACCATTAACCAACCTTTTCTTTTTTCCTTCCCTCAAATCTGCTCAGCTTCTAGTAATTACTGTTCTACTCTCAACTTCTATGAGATCAACCTTTGTAGATTCCACATATGATTGAGATCATGTAGTATTTTTCTTTCTGTGCCTGGTCTGTTTCACTTAACATAATGATGTCCAGTTCCATCCATGTTGCTAAAGAAATGACAGAATTTCATGCTTTTTAATGACTGGATAGTATTCGTGTGTGTGTGTGTGTGTGTGTGTGTGTGTGTATAGCATATTCTCTATCGATTCATCAGTTAATGGACACTTAAGATTGTTTCCATTTCTTGGCTATTGTGAATAGTGCTGCAGTAAACATGGGAGTATAGATGACTTTTTAACAATGATTTTATTTCCTTTGTTTATGTACCCTTGTTATGTTTTAAAATTCTAGAAGGATTTAGCTTTTGCCACCTGTTCTCAGTTTAACTTCTTTATCCTTGGAATCTGTTTTTAAAATTTTTTTCCTTAGAAGTATGGGCAGACTTAAAAGTGTGCTGAACTGCTATGTAGTAATCAGTAGTTTTTAGTTAAAATTAATTTCTTTGAATAGATTATAAATGTATATAGTTTAAAATTTGAAAGTCCCTTTCTTTTATCTGCCTACAGTTATTAAATTCTTTTTTTTTTTTGGATGGGGGACTAGGGATTAAATCCAGAGACATTTTATTCCAAGCCCTTTTTAAGACAGGGTCTCATAGTGCCTGGCATGGTGGCATACACCTGTAATCCCAGTGATTCAGGAAGCTAAGGCAGGAGGATTAAGAGTTCAAGACCAACCTCAGTGACTTATTGAGGACATAAGCAATTTAGTGAGACCCTGTCTCAAAATAAAAAATAAAAAGGGCTGGAGATGTGGCTCAGTGATTAAGCACCCTTAGGTTCAGTCCCCAGTACCAAAAAAAAAACAAAACGAAGACAGGGTTTCAGTGAGTTGCTTAGGTCCTCACTGAGTTGCTGAGCCAACTATTAAATTCTTCTACCTGGATGCAGTCACTATTATTAGTTTTTCATTCTTTATGTTTTAATAAAAAATAAAATTTGAGTTCTGAAAATAATCTTTGCATGGAAGATTTTGAAAATAGGTGTAAAATTTTTTTTCTCTAGTTACTGGGAAAGCATAGGACTGTTTGAAGTGCTGAAAATTTAGTGATGTAGTTTGAGAAATTTGGCAAATGTCATATATTAATAGATTTG